CCAAAGTCGGGGGCACTCAGGTGTCTCTTCAGCAGGTGTTTGCATCCAGAGACAGAAATCTGAAGTTATGCTTTTTCATACATAACTTGTTTTGCTGTGATCAGATCCAGGGCCTTCACCTGCTAAGCAAGTGCTCTACCACTGAGCCACACCCCAACTCCTCAAATGTAACATTTTAATCAGCCTATACCATAGAAAGGTACATAAAATGTAAAATGGGAAAGCCCATTCCAGTAGGGAGAACCAACCACAGAAAGTGCCATGTGAAGAAAGACACAGACAGATCCAAACCTGCACAAAGTGCAATTTAGTGGAGACTTACAAACAGAAGCATGTCTTGGGTAGCATGAGACAAGAGGACCCCTCTACCCCAAAGCAGGAGGAAGGGGCTTATATTCTAAGTCAGACAGAGGTGAGCCACAGCCAGCCAGAACGTACCTGGGCTTTCTCATGAAATATTAACAAGTCTAAGGCCACTCAGGAAACAGTCCAGCCACCGGGTGGCTGACTATCTAAAGACTTTATTTGTGTTATAGATTTCAGGATGTGTGCCAAGGTCACCTGGCAGGCAGGGCAGTGGTTACATCCAAGAGGCAGTAGTCATGCCAAGCTGGATCCCTGTGGCAACACTACTTACAACACAGAATTTGAAGTGGTTCCACTGGACCATAGTATTGCTATTTTATTCAAGGGTTTTAAGTACTGTGCTTGATATTTGAAGATTCCTTTTTCATATCATCATCCATTTCAAGCGTGTGCCCTCCTGGAAATTATCCGAGAGTACATTTATTTGGGGGTGTCTTAGTTACTTTTTCTCATTGCTCAGACAAAATACCCCAATGCCCAAAATTAAAGAAGGAAAGGTTTATTTGGCTCACAGTTTGTGGAGGTTTCAGTACATAATCAGCTGGCTCCAAGGCAGAGTGGCAGGGCACAGGTGCAACTGTTCAAGGCAGCAAAGGACAGCAAAAGTAACAAGAGCAAAAGAGAAAAAGCAAGGCTCTTTTCCTCCCATATATTGTAAGCAGGCTACTCACACTATCTCTGTGCCCTCCTCTTGCAAGCAAGATGAAGATGTTTACAAAGCTTAATTAAACTTCTAAACTTTTCAAGTTGACACAATGTATCAACCATTGGGGGGATGTTGAGCTCAAAGGGGGTGCCTCATGCATGCTAGTCAAGCACATTACCCCCTGCCCCTACTTTATTCATGATAGCCAAGATATGGAGTCAACCTAAGTATCTATAATGGTTGATTGACTGTGTCAATTTGAGAAGTTTAGTTTAGAGAAACCTAACTATATCAGCTCAGCAATTCTATAGCCTGAGGTGTTAAAGACGCACCCTAGGGCAGCCTGGATGGTATAAAGGGGAAATGAGGCAGGATAGATCTGCCTCTGTTCTTCTGAGGAGCTCCAGTCTTCACCTTCAGCTTGGATGTCATCTCCTGGCTTCCAGTACACAGACTCTTCAGCTTCCCGTAGACTCTTCAGCCTCCCATTGCAGACCCCTCGGCCTCCTGGTACAGACTTGCACCGGCACTGCAGTGAGCTCCAGACCTTGGACCAAATCCTCTGCTCTCCAGTGTGCAGACACCCTCTGCACAATTCCTCACCCACTCTGTGGGTGGCCGTTGTAAGTCACCCTTGTAAATTCTTATATATTTGTACATCTTGTGTTCTATCTGTTTCTCTAGTAAAACACTGACTGGTAGTGTTCATCAACAGATGAATGGGTAAGTTAAGATTACATATTTTTTTCAGCTTTTAAAAAAAGAAGAAAGTCCAGCTGGGCATAGTGGTGCATACCTGTAATCCCAGGACCATGGGAGGCTGAGGCACAAGGATCATCATGAGTTCAAGGCCAGCTTGGGTGATTTACTGACTTAGAAATATCCTATATCAAAATTTAAAAAAAAAAATTTTTGAGACAGATTCTTGCTATGTAGTCCAGGCTGGTCTTGAACTCACCTCACTACGTAGCCCAGGCTGGCCTGGAACTCATGGTGATCCTCCTGCCTCAGCCTCCTGAGATTATGCTAAGATTACAGCCATGTATCATAATGAAAGTTTTTTTAAAAAGGTTAGGGATGTTGCTTAGTGTGAGGACCCTGAGTTCAATTTCTGGTACCAGGAAGAAGAAGGAGTGAGGGGGAGGAGGAAGAAGAGAAGCAGGAGAAGAAAGAAGGTGGACCTGTCATTTATGACAACGTGGATATCCCAGAGAACATTAAGTGAAATAAACTAGACACAGAAAGATGAATAGCGCATGATCTCATTTATATGTTATATCATTAAGCTTTGTTGTGGCTGAGACACAGTGTCCCACACCCACAACCTAAAAGAAGAGAAGTTTAATTTGGTTCAGTTTGGAGGAATTCAATCCATGGTTGGCTGGCTTGAAGGCAGGAACATCATGGCAAAAGGGTGTGGTGGAACAAAGTTGCTCAGTTCATGGGAGCCAGGAAACAGAACAGGGAAACAGTGCCAGACAGGAACAGCCAAGGGACCACATATAGTACCCAAGTCTACGTACACCTCCACGACCCAACCAGGCACACCCGGGAGCATGCTTTACTAATCTACTAGGTATCTCTTAATCCAGTGATGTTGACATCAGGATTAACAGTTACAGACTAACTAGGAGTCTCCAGCCGTTAAACTCAGAGGTAGAGTAAAACTGTGGTTACTAGGCACTTAGGGAGTTGAGGCTGGGAGATATGAGTTAGAGAATATAAAATTTTGATTTCATGGGATGAATAATTTCAAGAGACTATTATATAATATGATGCTAGTTAATGACCAAGTATCATAAAATGCTTTTTAAAATTTTATTTTAGGGCCAGGGATATAGCTCAGGGGCACAGTGCCTGCCTGGCAAGTGTAAGGTCCTGAGTTCATTTCCTGGTACCAAAACAAAATAAAATAAAACACATTTTTTAAAAATTTATTTTAGTTTAGATGTATATAGTACATGTTAATATTCCTTATGGCAAGTTGGTACATGTATATAACCATTTTAATTCCTTTTCTAAAAAATCCCCCTTTGGGGCTGGGGATTTAGCTCCGTGGCACAGTGCCTGCCTGGCAAGTGCAAAGTCGTGAGTTTGATTCCCGGTACAGGAAAACAAATAAATAAAAATCCCCCTTTCCTTCTCTTCTTCCTCCCTCCACCGATCTCTTGATCCCCCTCCCATGTTTTTGGTCCGTGTCTGCAGTACATGTTTCCATTCCTTGTGTAAACTTGCTCCAAGTTCATAATGAATACCAATTCCTTTCTTCATCCCCTCTCCCTCTTCCCTAACCCCCCTCCATTTCTTGATCCCCTTCCCTTTGAGAACACTCTATCTCCCTACTTCCTATTATCTTTCATTTTGCTCTTTACTTTTACTCTGGGTTTCTCATATAAGAGAAACCATATGACCTTCAGCAGACGAATAGATAAAGAATTTGGTATTTATACACAGTAGAGTACTACTCCGTCGTAAATTTGAGTCATTTGTAGCAAGATGGATGCACCTTAAGATCCTAATGTTAAATGAAATAAATCAGACACACAAGCTTAAATGTATTTTTTCTTCAATCAGATTTTATTGGTACGTTTTAGATATACATAAGGATCACATTCATCATAGAGAATTTGTACCTGTACCTGATATAACTTGATTCTTTTTTCCCATTCCCCTCTCCTCCCCTCAACCCTTCCTCCCCTCCCCATTTACAAAAGCTTTGTTTCCATTTTTCGTTTCCTCACTTTTTTTTACTTTTCCCTTCTTTCCTTTCTTCCTCCCTTCCCTTGTTTCCCTCCCTGTTTGAACATTAACTGTATATATAGTTTTTAAAGTGTATATTATTGAAGATTGCTAAAAGAATAGATTTTAAGCATCTGCACCACAAAAAATGATGTGACCTAGTGCACGTTAAGTAGTTTAACCTAATCATTCCATAATGTATTTCAAAACATGTAAATGATATACAATTTTGACAATTAAAAAAATAAATGTTAGTGTCGGGGATATAGCTCAGTGGCACAGCGCCTGCCTGGCAAGTGTAAGGTCCTGAGTTTGATTTCTGGCACGATAGATAGATAAATAAATAAATACATAAATACATAAATAAATAACAAACAAAAATTTTAATGCTACTGTTTGGGGGAGAGCGTGAAACAACCCAAATGAAAAAGTGTCTGAAACTAGGGACGCAGTTCAGTGGTACAGCGCTTGCCTAGCATGCAGGAAGCCCTGGAGCGCGGAGGTGGACCGAACACTTGTTCTGCTCAAAAGAAGAAAGTTCTCAGTATCACTAGTGATAGGAAAAAGCGAATTAAAACCTAATGAGATACCACTTCCTCTCTGTTACGATGGCTTACAAGAAAGCCACAGAAGCTGGCATCACCCAGCGCTACTGAGGCAGGGAGGCACTGGGCTTCTGGACGTTGCCAGCAGTGTGCAGTGTCGCAGGCACGGCGGACACCTCCCTCAGCGTCCTGTTCACGACACTCGGAAAGGTCCACGCACCCGAGGCGTCCCAGAGGGCGCCCGCCTCATGGGGCTCCGGGCTCCGTCCCCAAGGGTAATGGGGTCGGGTTGGGGTCATCTGCGCTTTCTGTCCAAGGCTGGGCCTTGCAGCCGGAGGGTCTGCAGCCTCATCCCTCACCCCGCGAGGGTCTCCTTCACAGAGACTTGCGCTGGAGCAGAGACGGCGTAGAGGACGCGACACACCCCAGACCGAGCAGGTCCAGGGCTGTCCCACGTGAGCCGCCGTAGCCAAGACTGCTCGGCTCCCACACCTCCACCCCCAGGCACATGATGTCATCTGGCCAATCACAGAAGGACAGGATTGGGGCGAAGGTAGGCACTTGAGTTGAGCCAGTGAGCGCTAACCCTTGCGTATTTGCGGTGGAACGAGCTAGGTGTAAGGTTCTTGCGAGGTTCTTGAGGTCGTCAGCGGAACGCATCTTGTGGCATGAAGTTTACCGAGCGGCCAACAAATGTTCTAAGGAAAGGCCAGGACAATCGAATACCTCCATCGGTTACCGGCCGGGGCGTGAGGACCCTGGCGGGCGTTCTGGGTGATTGTCATCCTCGAAGAGCACCGGCCGTTCTTATCGCGAGTGGGTCTGGGGTCCTGACTTAGGGAGTCCCTCGGCCTGCGTGCTGGTGACAGATCAGGTGACTCTCGTTGTCACTTAGGGAAAGGCCGGCTGCGCGGCCCTGGGCAGTCGACTGAGGACACCATCTGGCCCCGAGACCCCCTCAACCCGAGGGCAGGAGGCATGGCCAGGTACAACATGGGACGCCCAGGAACACTCTATTAATTAATTAATTAATTGATGCTGGGGATTGAACCCAGGGCTTTTTCAGCCAGCTACACCCCCATCCTTTTTTCAATTTATTGAAACAAGGTCTCCTTAAGTCTCTCAGTTGCTCAAACTTGATCCTTCTGTTTTAGCCTCCTAGAGTGCTGGGATTACAGATGTGTGCCCGTGCCACCACACGGGCCCTGGGGACACTTATAAACAGATTTACTGAGCTACAATGCACTTCCTACAAAACACACTTAAAAGTGCACAGACCACTGTCTTCAGCATATTCAGAATCGTGGAGATTGTTCCCTATAGCTAATTTTAATTTTTTCTTTCTTTCTTTCTTTGGAGACCGGGTCTCACTATGCAGTTCAGGCTGGCCTTGAGCTCACTTTGTAGCACAGGCTGATCTCAAACTCGCAATGATCCTCCTGCCTCAGCCTCCTGAGTGCTGGAATTACAGGCGTGCACCACCATGCCTGGTTAATTTTCATTTTTGTGCACCAGAAAGAACCTTGTACCTATTAGCAGTCACACTCCACCTTTTTCCCCACAGCCAAAGAATTTGTCAGTCCTTATGGATTCTCTACATCACATAGGACAGACTTATGCTAAAAAAAAAAAAAAAAAAAAAAAAAAAAGTGTATCTGAAGTACAAATCTGTCTGGTCATCCTATACAGTATTTTTATTTGCTAAATTTGGCCACCGAGATGGGTATCTGAGCGCCCTCTTGTGGAAAGTGAACTGTGCCCAGGAGTGTTTGCTCAGGGTGCACTTGCACACACACACTTTTGGATTTCCAAGAAAACAGCCTCAAAAAAAGTAGGCTGTGCTCGGGAATGTCCCAGGCACAGTCCTCCATGGAAGGTTCTGGGCTCAGGGTTAATGCCAGGAGAGGAGCAGTTAGGACAATTTTAGGTCTAATAGGCCCAGAAGATCTTCATGAGTATATTATTGCTCCAAATTGTTGCTTCCTCTTTCTTTCCTTTTTTTTTTTTTTTTTTTTTTGAGATAGGGTTTCACTATGTAGTGCAGGCTGGCCTGGAACTCACGGTAATCCTCCAGCCTCAGCCTCCCAAGTGCTGTGATTACAAACATGCACCACCACACCCGGCTGTTCCTCCTGTATTTCTCATTCTCTCTAGGTATTTATAAATAGTTTGTACTCATGTTTCTTAAATCATGACATTTCAATTTGTTGTTATTTTCTAACCATATCCCACTATTTCACAGGGGGGACTATGTGGCTGGTGCCTCAGAACAGCCAGGCCTGTGGTTCTCCTGAGGGATTCAACAGCTGTTGGCACGAAGCCATGCTCTGCAGCTTTCCCTCTTGGCCTTCTCAGTATGTAGCAGGAAATGCTGTCATCCCACCGGCCAGTATACTTCAGTTTGTTAGTCTGCCAGATAATAGTTCCTGTTCCAGTTCCACTTGCTTGTGTCTCTTAGAAGTGGCCAGTCACTGTGATGCACAGCTTGTCACTATGATGCACATTGTATAAACCAATCCCCAATTGACAAGCCATTCTGCTTTTGTACTTCCTGCTTGCTTATCCAATATAAGCCCTAGACCACCAGAGATCAGCGCCTGATCAGGGCCTGATCTCTATCAGTGCCTGTTGTAAATAAATCTGCCTCCAAATCCTGGGTGTTGTTTCAGTGTTTCTGCTTGCTGTTGGAAGTACACAGCCAGTTTTCTTCTTTCTTTTAATGAACCTGCTGTATACAGTCCCTGGGTCATGGAATATGATCACGATTCCCAACAGCAAGGCCATCTCTGGTTTCATCTATTTATATTTTACTCCCTCACTCCTTCCATCTATTTTCCTGACCCACAGCAACCCTTTTGGTGCATTGTGTGTGTGTCCTTTTTCATCTCCAGAGTATAAATTTAAATATATTCTTACTATAATTACTAGGAGTAAGAAGACTGTTATGGGAACAATCAGAAACCTAAAGTATGGGGCTGGGGATTTAGCTCAGCAGCATGGCGCCTGCCTGGCAAGCACAAGGTCGTAAGTTTGATTCCTGGTACCAAAGAAAAGAAAGAAACCTAAAGTAATTTTTAAAATTTTTGGATAAAAGTTCTCTAGTAGATAGCAGAGCTCCCACGTACCCCACACTCACTGGTCCTCTTAGCATAGTTTCTTTGTTTGTTGACATCATTAAAGTCTATATTGATGCTTCCTCCATTTTACCTGAGGTGCTTTTTCTGCATGATCCCCTCTAGACTCCCACAGGACCTTTCATCCTCCTGTCGCCTTAGGCTCTTTTTTTCCCACTGTCCTATGGGTATTTAATTCATTGCTCACTTATATTTTCATGTTAGCACAGGTTTATGACAATGTAACCCCATCAGAAAATGGAGTCTCTGTATTCAAAAACACTGTACAAAATGCTTCGTTGTTAAGAAAAAAAGGCGAAGTACAGCTCAAGGAAACCAAATGGGCCTTATGCTCACAGCTCAGCTAGGTCTATGTGTTTTATTAAAGTTTCATCACATTTCTCAAACATCAAACATTGGTCCTGATGGATACTGATAAAAGAGATTGTATACATGTATCCCCAGGCTCTTTCTTTGTGTGTTTCATCTTCACAGTTGGGAGCATAGGTCAGATGTTTTGTAAATCACTTCTGGGATTTGCCTGATGTTTTCCTGAGAATTAAAATGGTTTGAGATGTTTGGAAAGGAAGATGACTTAAGTAAAGTGCCCTTTTCTTCCTGTCATCTCAAGGGTCCCTGCTGTCACCATGCTGTCCACCTGGCTGAGGTCCCACTTGTCAGGTCTCTCCCTGCTCTTTCCATACTACATTCTTTTGGTGGGAAATCACTATGTGTGACCTAAGTGAAGGGTCAGGGAGTCAGGCTTCCCTTCCTCAAGGACAGGACATCTACATAAATTAGGTGGCATCTTTTGCATGCAGAATTTGTAACTGCTACATACTTTTTTTCTGTTTTGTGGTACAGGGTATCAAACTCAGGGCCTGGTACATAGTACTGCATTAGAAGCTTTTTAATTAAAAACAAAATAAATGATATCTGTTGTATGCTATACAGTGCTTTTCTGTGCCAATTGAGTTACCTTTTGGATTTTTTTCCTTTAGTTTATTCATGGAAGAATTGCACTGATATTGTCTGATATTAAACTAGAGAAACCTGAACTGTGGGGTCCATTTCTCAGATATAGTTGGCTACAGTTTCATAATACTTTGTTTCAGATGTTTTTGTGCCTAATTCCCAGTGAACTGGGCCTCCCCAGCCCTTCGTTTGTGCATGTCTAGTTTGGCATCACACAGCCCCAACTTCATAAACTGAGCTGGACACATCCCTCTCCTTTTTACTTTCTGGAACATTGTGTCCATGGCAGGAATTTGCTGGTCCCTGGAGCTAGGTGGAACTGGTCTGAGCTGCAGGAAGACGCTCCTCCAACCACTTCACCACTTTTTCTTCTGCTCTGTTTTTTGCTTCCTTTTGCTCTTAGTTTTATCATTTTATAGTTTTCCAGGAATGTATCTACTTCATTTAGGTTTTCAATTTTATAAGTGTATTAATGTTCTAATTCTGTTTAAAAATCTGTGCTGTGCCTGCTGTTTCCTTTCCTGTGTGTTGTTGTGTCTGTGAGTTCTGCTTTTCTGCCTTTGTTCTTGCTTCCCCGTGCTTGTCCTTCTAGGGCCTGGCTCTTCCCTTTCTCCTCCTCCCTACCCTGTTGACCTCTGCTCTCCTAAATTTTTCCTCCTTGTTTCTTTGGTTTGCTCTGAATCGAATTTCTGGAGCTGATGTTTAGTTGAAGCAAAACTAGTCTTGAGTCAGCCGGCTTTGCCATTCTACCCCTTTCTTGGTGATTTTATTTTTTGAGGTAGGGTTTCACTATGCACTTCAGGCTGGCCTTGAATTCACTTTGTAGCCGAGGCTGCCTTTGAACTCAGCAATCGTCCTGCCTCAGCCTCCTGAGTGCTGGGATTACAGGTGTGAGCCACCATACCCGGCTCATTTTATTTTTTTTTGTAATGCTGGGGAGTGAACCCAGTATCTCCACACTGACCCACATCCCCTGCCCTTTTTTATCTTTTATTTTGAGACAGGGTCTTGCTAAGTCATTAAGTTGCCTAGGCTGGGCTCCAACTTGTGACACTCCTGCCTCGGCCTCCCAGAGTGCTGGGATTATAGGCAGGTGCCTCACCCTCTTTGGTGATCATTTTTAACAATTGTGACAGCTCCTTTCTCCAGCACCTGTATCGTACCCTATGCTAGACCTAGAACACCCACCCCTAGCCTCCCAGAAGGTACCACGAGCCCTGTTTGAGAGATTTGTTCCTTGCCTTGAACTGATCCAGAAGTTTCTCAGCCTTTGCCCCAGTATCTGGGTCACCTCTCCCCTTGGCCTCCTGCTGAGCTGAAGGGGATGCCCTGCCTGGAAGAGTCAGCAGAGAAGCGAGGTGCAGGGGTTTCACCGGCAGCCAAGGCTTTGGCCCCTACTGCCTCAGGGACAGCTGCAGGGGAGGGCTGTAGTGCCTCCCGGTTGAGGGGCCAGGAAGTTCCCCAGGAGTGCTCCCCTGAGGTAGCTGGCAGGCTGGGGGGGAAAGGGAAAAGCTCAGCAGGTGACTCACTGCCCAGTCACTGCATCACAGCCCCAGAGGCTGATGAGCAGGGAGGGGGTTGCTGGATGCAGAGCCAGATGGGAGTGCTCCTGTTGGCCCGTGGGTGCCTGGACATGGCAGTGGCCCAGGCTGGGCCTCTCAACTGGGTCTGTGCCAGTCAGAAGAGAGGAATGAGAGATCCCCAGGGGACAAGGATAGGTGTGAGCCTCCCAGCTTTGCCCTACCAACCTCCCCATTGGTGTGGAGGAAATGGGGGCAGCAGCAAATGCCCAAGTGGAGCAGTGCATCTGGGGTCACCCTGACTTCCTTCAGGCCAGACCAGGCCTGCAGCAGCCCCAGTCATGTAGGCCTTACCCCATAGCCTGTCTTGTCATGGCATCTGGGATGGTATCTAGAGCTGAGGCCATCCATCAAGAAGGGGCTTGCGGGGGCAGGGCTGGGGTAGAACTTGTGCCTGGCAAGAATGGCCCAGAAGGACAGGAGGTGGCAAGTGGTGGGACAAAGGGAGCCCATGCCCATACAGCCAGCCCAGACGTAGCCCAGGCAAGGAGCTGCCCCAGCAGCTGCCCCCCACCCCTGTGCCTACCCAGTGCTCACTGGCAGCCACTTAAGGTTGGAGGCCGAGGGCACTCACATTTGTGAGCTTTGGCTCCTGACAGACAGCGGGACCATGGTACATGTCACAGAGCACTGCTGTGAGATCAGTGAAATGCCCAGTCTGGCCCAGGGGAATGGAGGTGAGGCCACAAGCTCTAGTTCATGCAGCAGGGGACAGAGACTGCCCAGTGGACACCCAGCACCAGGGGCTTAGACATCTTGCCCAGAATGAAAGAGAAGGCTGGAAGCTGCTCTTCTGCTAGGGCAGGGCCAGGACAGCGCCAGCAGCCACTTTGCCCACTGTGCGGGGGCTTCTGATGCTTCCAGGCAGTGGTCAGGACAGGTTTGGACAGCAGGTTTCCCCACAGTGGCTGGAGCCTGAGTCTGGGCAAAGTTCTTGACAGGGGACAGTGGCTGGAGCCTGAGTCTGGGCAAAGTTCTTGACAGGGTCTTCAAGTACCTCAAGCTCCCATGTACCCAGAGCCCAGACCCCAGTGTAACTGGCCCTGCCTGCCCTCCACCCACTCCAGGGGTCCCCTGTGCATGCAGCTGAGGTAGCCCTTGGCACACCTCCCCTGTGTAGCCTTCACACCTCCCAACAGTAATGCAGCTCAGCCCTGGAGGGTTCTCAGCCCTCTTCTGCCTCTGGAGGTCACCATCTTGTAGAGGTCATGCTGTCCATGCTACAGAGGGCAGCAGTAAGGACACATCATCCCCACCAGCATGGAATACTGGGTTCTTGTCCAGAAAAGAAAGTGTATGACCGTATCCTGTGTGCTAGCCCCAGGCACACAGAGTGGGGCAGAAGCCAAGGACCTTGGGTAATGTCAGGAGAACCATGGAGAAGCCAAGCCATCAAGGCTACATGACCTGCCTGAGGCTGAAGGCATGGGACACCAGCCTCCAATACCACCTAGGCAGAGGGCACATGTGCTCTTGAGCTATGGGACACGGTGCTGGGCCAGGGGACTCTGGGACACCTCCAGCCACAAGGACTGGAGCTATCCCAGCCCAAGGGGCCAGTCAGGCTGAAGAGTTCAGATATGGGAAATAAAGGGCCCACTCCCTACCACTCCCCAGCTCAAACTTGGAATGTCAGCTCCAAACCAGCACTGTTCAGTTTGGCCCCTGCCTCAAAAAAGCCTACACTTGTGTAACACCTTAGCCCCACCCAGGCTGGCACAGTGCAGGCCTCTGCCCCATCCACCTGGCCTCTTCAGAGCTCATACCTCATCTGACTGAGTAAACAGCCCCAGCAGGGGTCCAGCCCACCAAGGCCTCCTCTGTCTAACCAGGCTGTTAACCCAGGAATGGGCCTGGCAGGGGTCCTCTCTGCTTTGTCCCTACTGACAGTTGCGACCAGACCCTTCTCTGTGGTGGTAGTCACATATCCTGGGGAGCAAAATCAGCCAAAGATGAGACCACTGATCTCTGACAACATGCCCAGTTGGG